TAGACCTGGATGCTGCAGCAAACATCTGACTCAACGCAGCTACCTGACCAGACTCAGCAGCCGGAGGAGACTCAGTAGTGAGGGTGTACAGGCTCGACCCCGGCCGACGGGTGAACGTGGCCAAGTGTCGGCCTGTCCGAGCACACTTACAGTGGGTCACCCGCTGACTCGCAGGAGTGAAGTGGTCAACCCCCCTATCCTGTAGATCAGCTCCACTCACCAAGTTCGTAGAGAACGAGGGGAGGTAGAGACCTGACAGGGTGCCAGAGGGGGCTGCCGGACACGGTAAGACGTTGGAGAAGGGAGCAAGGACAGAACTCAGCAGGAAGCGCAGCGCGGTAGCGAATGTCACTAGTGCGAAGGTGAGTAATGATGTCAGCGACTGTGGGAAAGGCAGCAAGGTCAGGGAACAGGTACGGCAGCATGAGGCGGCTAAGAGCAGCAGTGGCAGGGGAGGAGTAGTGTGCAACTACAGCGTCGTACAAGGTCTTAGCACTCTTGTACTGGCTAAAGTGCGCACGCTCAGCGGTCGGTAAGTGGCGACGCACAGCAAGGTGAGCAGCAGCATCGCGTGTGGCCACTGTGAGCGAACAATGTTGTCAGCAGTAGCAGGCGGGGCGGGAGAGACACCAGAGATGAGATCGAACAGAGAGAGTCCGTCTGCCCTATCGCACTGGAGAATCAGCTGGAGGTCATCGACCCAGACCTCAAAGTCAACGGCACGGCCCTCAGCATCAAAGGTAAGGACACTGGGGGTGGCCATGACTGAAGTGGCCTAGTAGGGAGTGATCTCACCAGTCCGAGGAAGTAGGGTTGGGGCGCAACGGTAGGAATAGCAGCGGCTCGACAGTAGGGCGGCCCGGCGGCTCGGCGGCTCGGCTGCTGGGCGGCTCGGCTGGTGGGCGGCTCGGCTGCCGGGCGGCTCGGCGGCTCGGGTGCTGGGCGGCTCGGCGGCTCGGCTGGTGGGCGGCTCGGTCGCTGGGCGGTGACGGGGCCGGTAGAGGCGGTGACGTGGCCGCTGGGGGAGGTGACGGGGCCGCTAAGGGCGGCAAGGCGGTCGCAGAGGGCGGCGACGGGGCTTCCAGGGGAGGGCGACGGGGCCGCAGGTGACGGCGACGGGGCCGGAGGTGGCGGCGGCGGGGCCGCAGGTGGCAGCGACGGGGCCGCAGAGGGGTCGCAGAGGGGCCGCAAGGGGCCTAGACGGGGCCGCAGAGGGGCCGCAAGGGGCCTAGTCGGGGCCGCAGAGGGGCCGCAAGGGGCCTAGACGGGGCGGCGACGGGGCCGTAAGGGGCCGTAAGGGCGCCGCGAGGGGCCGGAAGCTGGGCCGCGCGAGGGCCGTAAGGGCAGCGTGAGGGGCCGTAAGGCGCCGCTAAGGGCGGCGCAAGGGGCCGACGGGCGGTGCGAGGGGTCGTAAGGGGCCGTAAGGGCAGCGCGAGGGGCCGTAAGGGGCCGTAAGGGCAGCGCGAAGGGGGGGCCGACGGGCGGCGCGCGGGGCCGTAAGGGGCCGTAAGGGCGACGCAAGGGGCCGTAGAGGGTGGCGCGAGGGGCCGTAAGGGCGGCGAAGGGGCCGTGAGAGGGGCCGCTACAGGCGACGCAAAGGGACCGTGAGAGGGCGCGACGGTAGGGAGGGCACACAGAGTGTGACTCGGGCAGGAGCGAAGCGCGCTCCGGGCAGGAAAAAAAATCGTGGTGGGCCCTAGGAAGCGTTCCCACAAGGGAACCTGCTCGATACCATGATAAGAAACGAGGAATGAATGCATTGAGCAAGATGAGGAGTACAAGTAGGAAACCCTAAAGTGTCGTACCCCATATGAACTACCCCACTACAGCCTACACAGACTACAGCATATAAGCCTGACACGTGTATCGGGTAGTTGCGCTCGGGTAGGTGAAGCTTGCGGGACTCGTACGCGATTGGCTGAAGGCGGTTCCCGAAGTCCTGCAACAGTATTGCTCCCACAGCGATGTCACTAGCATCGGTGATGAGATCAAACGGACGGTGCGGATCTGCGATATGAAGTACGGGCGGTGAGCACAAAATATTTTTGAGGGCCGAGAAGGCAACTTGCTCTTTCTCCCCCCACGTGTACTCAACCCCCTTCCTCAGCAGGTCAGCCAACGGGGCAGTCAGCTTCGCCATGTCGAGGACGAACCGGCGTACGTAGTTGACGAACCCCAGAAAACTCTGCAACTCGGTCAAGTTGGTCGGTGCGTGCCATGCTTGAATCGTCGCGATCTTTTTCGGGTCTATTTCCACCCCTGCAGCTGAAACAATGTGTCCCAGAAACTCTAGTCGGTCCTGTAAAAACTCACACTTAGACGCTTTTGTCAGTAGGCGGTTCTCACTCAGTATCTTAAAATCTGCTTCGATGTCCTGTAGGTGCTGTGCTCTATCGGGGCTGTAAATCAGTATGTCGTCCAGGTATACGATAACGCACTTATCTAAAAGCGGGCGGAAGGCTTCGTTCATGGTCATTTGAAAAGTGGCGGGGGCGTTGGTCAGTCCGAAAGGCATGACGGTGTATTCGAAGGATCCGTAGCGTGTTCGGTAGATTGTCTTAGGGCAGTCGGGTGGGTTGACGCGAATCTGGTGGTAACCTCCTCGAAGGTCGATTTTCGAGAATACCCGGGCTGTGCGTAGTTGGTCGATCAGTTCATCGGCTCGCGGGATGGGGTAACGGGATTTGATGGTAACCTTGTTCAGTGCTCTGTAATCTATGCACATGCGAAATCCCCCGTATTTTTTCGGTGTGAACAGTATCGGTGCTGCGAAGGGCGACGAACTAGGGCGAATGAACTCCTTCTCTAGCAGGTAATCCAGCTGCTTCCTCAGTTCGTCCAGTTCGGGTTGGGTCAGTCGGAATTGTCGCTTTACTGTCGGCTGTGCCCCCGGTTCTAGTTCTATCCTGTGGTCGTGCGGTCGCTGAGGTGGCAGTCCCGTCGGTAAGTCGTCCGGGAAGATGTCGCTGTACTGCTTCAACAGTGCTGCCAGATCACTCGGTACGTCGGCTAGCAGCTTCTGTAAATCCCCTCCTTTGTCTGCTGTCTCGGCTTCCCGAATGTCAACCGCGTACACGTCAGCTTCTGCCGCTACGACGCGTTTCATCATGATCGCGTTAACACGCACAGACGATGACTTAGGCGAGCCCCAGCGAGGTAAGGCGATGTTGTTACCGTTCATTCGCACAGTGCAGTCACCCATCGTCCAGTCGATTTGCGGATTGTGTCGTCGCAGCCAATCACGCCCGAGTAAAATATCGGTTCCGTTGAGGGTCGTTGCGAGCATTTCCTGGCTAAACGTGAAGTTACCCCCACATCGAATCCGAACTCGGTCCACACGTTCCCGTATTGCCAGTGGCATGCCGTCGACCAATCTTGCGTTGATCTCAGGTAAACATCTGTCCAGTGGTAGTCACAGTTTTCGTGCTGTAGCAGTGTTGATGAGGGTGTGGCTGGCTCCCCTGTCTACGAATATTTTAACTAAGTCAGTCCCAATTTTCCCACTAAGCAGTATAGGGCTGTCTACCGTAGTACCCTCCTTATTGCGGAGAGTCACTCTACAATAGTAGTGAGCTAGACTATGGGGGTTGGCACGAAGTACTAGAGGTGATCGTAGTTTTGCTTGGTTCCTTAGTGCTTACACATTCACGGGAGAAATCGGTTGGAGTTTCCACTAGTTAAGTTGGAATTACAGAATAATTGAACAAGCAATGACAGAATGACTACATCAGGCACCTAGCAACCCTTCAGCTAGCCTGTGGACCGCTAGCACAGCTCGGTCGACCGCCTGCCATCGTTGCGTAGAGTGGCCGTGCCAGCACTGCGAAAAGGCGACCTCCCAACAGAGCAGGTCGACGGCGTGCCAACGCTGCAGCGGAGCGGCTGTCCAGCGTTGCCCCATAGAACACAGCAGTGCGCACGCTCACAGGTGCGCGCAGACAATTGGCCCGACTTGCCTCGTTGGGCATCCCTCGGCTGTTGTCTACGCCTGACGAGCCACATCGACTTTGGGATACCAGCCCGCAGACGCCTTCGCCATCGCGACCTCGACGACGTTCGCGTGCCACCGCTGAACTCGTCGAGCAGGTTACCCGGTCGACCCGGACGACCACCAGGTGCATCTGGTCGACCACCACTGCTTCTGGTTAACCCCTAGGTCCCTCTGGTCGACCACAACTCCCGTCAAGCTACCCCCTGGTCGACGGACCCCTTCCGTCGACCAGAACCGTCAGCGGTTGTCGCCGGGCTCCCCTCGTCGACCGCTGCTCACTTGTCAGGTCGACGGACTGCTCCGTCGACCTCCCAGTCGAACGGCAGGTCGACGGGATGCTCCGGAGACCTCCCGATCGAGCTGTAGGTCCTGGTCGACGTACCACCCGTCGCCCAGACCAGTCAGTTGCAGCTGTCGAGCTCTCTGGTCGACAGCAACACCACAGCGGTCCCCTGCAGCTCGACGAAGCCTGTCGAGCAGCTCTCCCACTGCGAACGGTCGGCTGCTACTCCCGTACATCCGACCAAGTCGTCGGCGTTGCCCAAGCGAGGGCGAGGCCAACACTCCATTCCTGTTAACACTCCCTTGCCGCGCTCACGCTTGGGCCTCCAGCCCACGCGGCAGTACTCCACGGAGAAAACTCGTCCTCGGCGTGCACCCCACACACAGCACGCCGTCACCGCACCAGCCGTGTAGAAGGGCACGGCACCTACTGCTGCACCTCGTCGTCGCCGTCGCCGACGTCTGCCAGACGAACTTGGCCGATGGCGACAGAGCACCGGTTGAAAGCCAGAAAATGCAGCGCCTTTGTCAAGAAGTCCGCCGGCTGCTCGGTGGTCAGGATGTACTTCAGCATAAATTTCCCGCGCCTCACCATGTGCTGCAGCCAGGCGTAGCGTCGCTCCATGTGCTTGAGGTTGCCCGTCAGCCCCAAGCCCTCAGCGACCGTGATTGCCGACTTGTTGTTGACGTGGAGGATGGTCAGCTTCCCAGCGTCGAGCAGCTTGAATTACGCAAGGAGGAAGCGAAGTCGACGCCCCTCCTTGCCGGCATCTGTGGCCGCCACGTACTCCGACTCGGTTGATGACAATGTCGCGCACTTGATGCGCGAGCTCGACCAGGAGACGGCGGTACCTTCGTAGACAAACACGTAGCCTCCCGTGCTCGTCCGGTTCTGCTTGTTGCCCGCATCGTCTGCATCCACGTAGCCGATCAGCTCCAGCAATTCTGGTCCACCACCAAGCTCCAGGGCGGTGTCGCGGGTATCAGCAAGGTAGGCGAGGCAGTGGTCAACCTCGCGCCAATGCTGGTCGCTCCTCACCGTGAGGCCGCTCCCCAGCTTGTTGCAGGCGAACGCAATGTCCGGCCTCGACGTCGTTGCCGCGAACTGCAGCGAGCCGACCTTCTGCCGATACTCCTCCTCTTCGCGCTCTTGAGCCTCCTCGTCGTCGAACGTCAGCTGAGCGTAGGCGTCGACTGAGACCGGCATCTTCGGGACTGGACCGCCCTGCTCCTCGTTGATGAAGCGCCTGCGCAGCTTGTCGGCGTAGCCCTGCTGGTGCAGCCACAGCTTCCTGGCCGACCTGTCGCGCATGATCTCCAGCCCAAGGTACTTAACCACCGGCGAGATCTCACGCAGCTCGAAAGCGGCCTCCAGTAGCTCTTTCAGCTCCTTCAGCATCGCGGTGCTGCTGCTGGCGGCGAGCAGGTCGTCGACATAGACCAGCACCTAGCAGGTCACTTTGTCGTCGCCGGCCTTGAAGTAGAGCGCCTCGTCGACCTGGCTCTTCTTCCAGCTAGCGCCCAGCAGCTGGGCGCCTCGTCGACCTGGCTCGTCGAGAGCCTTGTACCATAGCAGCGGAGACTGCTTCAGCCCATAGAGGCTCTTCAGGAGCTTACACACCCGGCCGGTCCCGTCGTCGAAGTAGTCCGGCTGGTACATGTAGAGCACCCGATCGAGCTTGCTCTTCAGGAAAGCGTTCTTCATGTCGAGCTGCATCAGGTTGAGGTCGAGGACGGCAACGATGCTGAGGAAGATCCTCAGCGTGACGTAGCTGCTCACCGGCGAGTACGCCTTGTCGTAGTCGGCACCGTACACCTGCGTGAAGCCCTTCACGACCAGCCCCGCCTTCTCGCGCTCGACGGTGTCGTCAATGCGGTACTTGGTCGTCAGCACCCACCGGTTCTTCATGATGTTCACCCCACGTGGGCGTTCAACCAGCTCCCAAGTGCCCATGCCGATGAGGCTGCAAATCTCTTCTTTCATGGCGGCCTTCACCGCTTCGCCCTTCCGGCTCGACAGCGCCTCCTTCACCGTCATCGTGGCGATGTCCCAGCGGTGTTCGGGGTCGAGCTCCGGCAGGTCTTCATCCTCCTCGGCGTCATCGTACAACAGGTCGTCGTCGACCTCGTCGAACACCGTGGTGAAGGCAGCTGGCGGTAGGTAGGCAAGGAAGCTCAGCCGCTCCGATGGCCGTCGAGCTCGACCTCTGCGTCGCAGCTCAGGCTTCGTGATCCGCACTTCCACCACGTCGCTTTCGGTTGACTCCTCACCCGCCGACTGCTCCCCTTCCTCATCGACGTCCTCGTCGTCGACCAGCTGCTTCGACCCTTCGACCGGCTGCTCGTCTGATGCTGACTTCGACAGCTCCCCTGTCGGCCGCCCCGGCTGTTGCTCCCCCGTTGGCTGCACCGCTGCTGTTACCTCCTGTTCGATCGGCTCCCCTGTTTGCTGCTCCTCTGTCGCCGACGGCTTCCCATTCTGGTTGACGAGCTTGACGCCTTGTCGACCGCCGGCGATGCCATGGGCTGGCGCCACAGGCGACGCCTCAAGGCTCCCCTCATCGTCGGTGGTCGACACAGGTGCCGGCCCAGGCCGATCTTCGACGGGGAACGGAGGAGCAAGGACAGGGGGAGGGGGAAGAACCTCCACAACATCCTCAACAGCAGACTCGTCGACTTTGGCGAGCAGCGGAATCGTCGCCGTCGAGGTGTCCGTCGGTGGGTACGCCTGCATCCGCTCTGACGCCGACCCATACGTCGCCTTCCACACCTCAAGCAACAACGTCTCGTAGAAGATCACCTCGACTGACGTGACCACCTTGTTGTCGGTCAGGTCGAGCACCTCCCAGCCCTTGCTCTCCGGCGACACACCCAGGTGAAGCCCCCAGCGAGCCTTTGGCGCCAGCTTCCCACTGGGCTGCTGGTCAGGAACCAGGAACTGTACCATGCAGCCCCACACCCGCGCCAGCGTGAGGTTAGGCTTCGTCCCGGTTAGTAGCTGGTACGGAGTCGTCCCCGGCGGCGTCGTCGACTGCTCCAAGCAGTTGCACTCCACTAGTGATGCTGCACGCCCATGTGCAGCAACATCGTCCGCACAGACTCGACGACCGTGCGTATCTCCCGCTCAGCCATCCCATTCTGCTGCGGAGTGTAGGGGCACGTCAGGTCGTGGACGATGCCCTTCCCGTCGACGAAGTTGGTGAACGCCTTGCCGAAGAACTCCCCTCCTCAATCGGAGCGAAGCGACAACACCGACTTCTTCGTCTGCCGTTCCACCAGCACCTGCCACCGCCGGAACTCCCGCAGCACGTCGCTCTTCTTAGCGACCGGCATTGCCCACACAAATCGAGTATGGCGATCCTTCAGCAACAGGAAGTACAAGCTGCCATCTTTGGCAGCCACCCGAAATGGCCCGCACATGTCAATGTGCACGACAGCTAGCGCCTCCGCTGCGTCCGAGCCCTTGGCGGGGAAGGTGTGCCGCGCCAGCTTTCCTCCGACGCACGAGACACACGGCGAGTCTGCTCCGGTCGACGACGTGATGTCGAGCCCATCAGCAACATCATGCTTTGCCGAGCTCTTGATCGTGTCGACGCTGACGTGTGCGAGCCGCGCATGCATCCTATCGGGGGTCGTCTTCGTCGCCGAGACGATCGTCCGCAAAGCCACCACCTCGGTCGACGACGGCTGCGTCGAGCAGGGGCGAAGGTCGGTGCAGAGTACCCGTTCGGTGTAGCGAGCTCGATCGAGTACCTCCCCGCTCGCAGCGGCGAGCAGCATCTTGTCGCCGTCGCCCTGCAACTGTACTCCGCTCTCCTTCAGCTGGCCAGCAGACAGAAGGTTCGCCTGTATGCCCGGAACGTAGAGTACGTCGGGGATGAGGACCCGCTTCCTGGCCTCCCCTTGCAGAGCGACGGTTCCGCGACCCTCGACAGGCTGCAATGCCCCGTTGAACCCACGCACGTGCTTCACCCCGTTGCTTGGCCCCATGTCGACGAAGACCGACTTCGTCCCCATCATGTGGTGGGAGCACCCGCTGTCGAGCAGCACTGCCATCGGGTTGGCCTGCACACCTGCCGCCACCGCCTGGAAGTCTTTGCCAGCCTCCGGCGCCAGCAAGACAGTCGGCTCCACCACGCCGACCATCGAGCACGACGCCTCCTCGTCGCCTCGGCTCTTGCCACTGGAGCTATCAATGTTCTTCGTCAACGACGTCTTCTTCGACGCTTGCTTCTCCTTGTGCGGCTTCTCATCTCGATGGGGGCGATGACTGGCCGATCGACCACGACCTCCCTGGTTGTCATCCTCATCGCTGTCATTGTGGTTGGGGCACTCGAAGGAGAGATGGTCGGGGTCGCCGCAGATCCAGCACTCCCGCCGTCGACCACCACCTCGTCGACCCTTGTCCCGCGTCGACCGCTTCTCGTTGACGTCCTTCGCTGACCGCCCACCTCCGCTACCACCTCCGCCCGGCTTCCCGTGCTGCCCTTGCTGCTGATTCAGCTTTGTCAATGCAGCATAGTTTGCCCGCGAAAGGAGCTCTGTAGGCTGTTCGGCCTCCTGCATCGCCTCATCTTGAAGAATGTAGCTGGTGATAGAGTCCTTGTCGAGGGACTCACGCGTGCCGCGCACCATCATAATTCTCTTCATGAGATTGTAGCTGCGCGGCAAGCCCTTGACGATGTGGGTGATGTAGGACGCTGTCGAGTATTCGGTGCCCGCCATCCGCATCTCAGCCAGGATTCGTCGAGCACGGTTGCAGTAATCCGTCGCTGACTCCTCGCCCTTCCGAATGTGAGTCATCTTCTCCTCCAGCTGCCCAATGTACAGGTCGTCCTTGACCTGGTACGTCGACATGATGAAGCGCCATGCCTGGTGACCAGCATCCAGTTGCTCTCGACAGCTCCTGAGTGCTAGCTGCACCACCGGCGAGCAGCACCTTGAGATGACCATGAAGGTGAGCAGGTGAGCAGAACGAAACTCCCCGCGCAACTCGACATCCTCCTCGGGCGGAATTGGCACGGTGCCGTCGGCGAAGCCCTTCAGCTCGGCGACCTCCAGCTGAGGTTCTATGGACTCCCTCCATGTGATGAGGTCCTGTCAACCTTGCAGTGGTGCGACGGTGATCCGGTCCGGCGAGAATTTGACTTAGCCATACGCCAGTGCAATTCCGCCTGCAGTTACATGCGTCGTCGCCGAGAGCCCTCTAACGCTTCGTAGAGGAGAGCGACGTCGAACATCGACGCCGGCACGCGAGGTGTTGGCAGCCGCCGTCGACCGCTGCACTCGCGCTTGGATTCCGTCGACACCACCGTCGACCTTGATCACCCCTCTCTGCCTCGTGCCTTCGCTGCCGCTGACTCGTGCACCACCGTCGACCTCGTCGTCGACGCCACCTTCGTTGCACACCGGTCGAGGAGAGGCAGGACGGGAAGGGTGTTCCGTCGCCCACTGCGACCGGATGCCCGACTCGGCGATCACCAAGGGGATCGTCCCGTACTCGCCATCTGCGTGGCGTCTCCTCGCGTCAGCCTAACGTACCTCCAAGGTGTCCGCTACTCCCGCATCAACTACGGGGTCGACCATGGCGACTATCGCTGTTGCCGGCCTACGAACGACTTAGTAGGTGCAAAAGCCGGCTCTTATCTGAAGGTCGCGTGTTCGATCCACGCTCACCGCACCATGCGGAGAGTCACTCTACAATGGTAGTGAGCTAGACTATGGGGGTTGGCACGAACTACTAGAGGTGATCGTAGTTTCTCTTGGTTCCTTAGTGCTTGCACATTCACGGGAGAAATCGGCAGGAGTTTCCACTAGCAAAGTTGGAATTACAAAATAATTGAACAAGCAATGACAGAATGACTACATCAGGCACCTAGCAACCCTGCAACTAGCCTGGTCGACCGCTAGCACAGCTCGGTCGACCGCCTGCCAGCGTTGCGTAGAGGGGCCGTGCCAGCACTGCGGATAGGCGACCTCCCAACAGAGCAGGTCGACGGCGTGCTAACGCTGCAGCGGAGCGGCTGTCCAGCGTTGCCCCGTAGAACACAGTAGTGCGTACGCTCGCAGGTGCGCGCAGAGAATTGGCCCGACTTGCTTCGCTGGGCATCCGTCGGCTGTTGTCTGCGCCTGACGAGCCACATCGACTTCGGGATACCAGCCCGCAGACGCCTTCGCCATCGCGACCTCGACGACGTTCGCGTGCCACCGCTGAACTCGTCGAGCAGGTTACCCGATCGACCCGGACGACCATCAGGTGCATCCGGTCAACCACCACTGCTTCTGGTCGACCCCCAGGTCCCTCTGGTCGACCACAACTCCCGTCGAGCTACCCCCTGGTCGACGGACCCCTTCCGACGACCAGAACCGTCAGCGGTTGTCGCCGGGCTCCCCTCGTCGACCGCTGCTCACTTGTCAGGTCGACGGACTACTCCGTCGACCTCCCGGTCGAACGGCAGGTTGAGGAGATGCTCCGGAGACCTCCCGGTCAAACGACAGGTCGACGGGATGCTCCGGAGACCTCCCAGTCGAGCTGTAGGTCCTGGTCGACGTCCCACCCGCTGCCCAGACCAGACAGTTGCAGCTGTCGAGCTCCCTGGTCGACAGCAACACCACAGCGGTCCTCTGCAGCTCGACGAAGCTTGTCGAGCAGCTCTCCCACTGCGAACGGTCGGCTGCTACTCCCGTACATCCGACCAAGTTGTCGGCGTTGCCCAAGCGAGGGCGAGGCCAACACTCCATTCCTGTTAACACTAATTCGGCCGGGTGTGGTCGATTGCGTGAACCGGCATAATCATTCGGTGAGGGTCGGTTGGGTCGGGCGAGCGGCGTGACCTTTCAGTAGAGGGCCCGTCTGCTACTGACTCCCAGCGTTTCCCTGCTGCTTGGTCTGTTTCTGCTGCTCAACTTCTCCCTTTTCCTTAGCGTTTTCCGGGCATTCGCTCTTGAGGTGTCCCAGCCGATTGCACGCAAAGCAGCGCCCTTTGAATGTTGCGGCAGCGGCATTTGCGGCGACGGCACGTATCGTAGCGCCCTCGTTCATCCCACGAGGCCGATGTCCCCAATTGCTGCCTCCGTAGGACCCCGGTCTCGGTCGGCGGAAGAAGTCGAGTTTCTCCGCCATGGCGAGAATCTCCTGAAAATCGGTGATGCCGCGGAGCTGGATTTCGTGAGCGATGTCCTGCTTCAGGCCGCTGATGTAGCGGTCGATGCGTTTGCTCTCGTGCATATATCCCACCTGCTCGCATAGCGCTAGAAACTCGCTCGTATAGTCTTGGACGGAACCGAGTTGGCGCCAAGTGCGGAGCTTCTGTCGCGCCGCGATCGAAGCCGCAATTGGCTCGAAACGAGTGCGCAGACTTGCGCACCACGCGTCCCACGTGCGATACTGGGGCACCTCCACGAAATACGACGGCGCCCAGGGTCCGGTTTGTGCTTCCTGTGTCGATAGAGTTGCGTAGTCCACCGGCTTTGTGACGATGACACGCCACCAGTCCATGGCGGGTCCTCGCAGAAACGACACGGCGTAACGAATCTTCGCCGTATCCTCCGAGACGTAGTTCGCGTCGAAGAAAACGTTCAACGTGAAGAGCCACGCCTGAATGATAGGACCACCCCGCTAACTTGGGTAAAAAAATGGCGGACGCTGCGGCTTAAGCGGCATCGGCGATGGAAGAGCTGATTCGACGTCCAGCACTAAAATCGTGACGCGAGGCTGATTCCTGGCCGCATTCGTTGTGTTGGGGTGTGTCGTGCCGTGGTCGTCGTCTCCGTCATGGCGGACGACGCCATCACTTGCGGCGCTCGCGGGTTGCCCCACACTTCCGTGCTGTGATGCCTGTGGTGCGGGTTGAATCGGAGTGCCAGGTACTTGGGATTGTGTTCGTGCGAGGTCGTTTTGCAGGGACGTGCGTTTTGCCATCAGCGCCGCGATTTCTTCAGAGCTTTCGCGGATTTGCCGCAGCAGCTTGTTCAAATGATCCTGCGTGAGAGTCGTGACATCTGTTGAAATGTATTTGTATACTTTCATATAAATGCCTACAGTAGCCTAGTGTAGTTATCTTAGTTTCCTGCTAGGTGGTGTACCATTTGCCTTTCTTCATTCTTGCCTATTTGTACCCTTGAACCTATAGTGAAACCCCATTCTCTCGATACTTTTCACTCTACTCAAACTCACTCGAACTTCTCACTAGCTATGGCTCCTTTAGTCTAGCTAAGCTTTTGACATGGTATCAGAGCACGTAACGCTCCTGGACTCCTGCTTCCGCTGCTACTAAGTGTTCTGCACGCCTCGTGGTGTGCCCTACTCTCGCGGCCCCGCCGCCCTTCTTAAGCGGCCCCGCCGCCCTACTGTCGCGGCCTCGCCGCCTCTCTACTGTTGCGGCCCCGCCGCCCTACGTCGCGGTCTCGCCGCCCTTCACTGCGGCCTCGCCGCCCGTGCGCCGACGTCTGCGAAGCCGCCGCCCGTGAGCCGCCGCCCGTGAGCCGCCAGTGGCCCGCCCGTGCGCCGACCGCCTGTGCGCCGCCCGTCCGTGAGCCGACGCCACCCGCGCGCAGCCCGACCGTGAGCCGGCGCCGCCCGTGAGCCGCCCGCCCGTGCGCCACCAGCCTGCCCGTGAGCCGCTGGCGCCGCCCGTGCACCGCCCGTCCGTGAGCCGCCCGCCCGTGCGCCGCCCGCCCGTGAGCCGCCCGCCCGTGAGCCGGCGCCACCCGTGGGCCGCCCGCCTGTGCGCCGCCCGCCCGTGAGCCGCCGCCTCTGAGCCGCCCGTCCGCGAGCCACCCGCCCGCCCGTGAGCCGCCCGTCTCCTACACCTGTGGTCCCGACCCCGTCCCGGCCATGCCTCGTCACCAGCTACGGCACACCGGGGGCACGTGCACCCCCCCCCCCCTTCTTCCCGTCACCTGTCGCGGCTCCTTCGGGGGCCACCTGAAAGGGGGGGGCAGTCGTCGCCCCCTCTGCCGCTTGCTTTGGCGCCCGGGGAGGCCGTGCGTCGCCCCCCCCCCCCCTCTTCTCCTCCTCCTTTTGTTCCCTCTGCTGCAGCTGCCGCTGGGGGGGAGGGTGTGGGAGTGTGGGGGAGCCCGGGGAGGGACTGGGGGTGGCGGGTGTGGGGGTGATGGGTGATGTGTGGTCCCCTGGCCCTACGGCCCCATCCTCCTCCGTTTGCCCCCCCTCTGCTGCTCCTGCAGCAGTGGGAGGGGGAGGGGGAGGGGGAGGGGGAGGGTGAGGGGATGGTGTCGGTGACCAAGCGTGGGCGCTTTACACTTCCAGCTACTACTGCTCTTGCTTGTTTCTGTTTCTTCCATTGCACCTTGTACCCCTGCAAACTTTGTGCTACACACGGGTTTTCCACTGTAGGCATTTAGGGGGTGTGTTGAAATGTATTTGTATACTTTCATATAAATGCCTACAGTAGCCTAGTGTAGTTATCTTAGTTTCCTGCTAGGTGGTGTACCATTTGCCTTTCTTCATTCTTGCCTATTTGTACCCTTGAACCTATAGTGAAACCCCATTCTCTCGATACTTTTCACTCTACTCAAACTCACTCGAACTTCTCACTAGCTATGGC